TCTTGCGAAAGTTTTAGACACTGGCAGTTCTGTCGATCAAAACAATGGGTCTTTTCTCGCAGCACAACAAGCTATTCACGCAGTTCGACATCGCTATAGACATTCCGTTGCGCAGTCACTATCGATCGAATCTAGTAGAATCGACGTCGTCGCGCCAAGTACTCCCTTACAACAAGGCATGATCGCAAGGTCGTTGGAAAGCAACAACGGCTTATATTTCAACACTTTTCATTTCAAGTTGCATGACAGCGTCAACGAACAACAACTTCAAGCGGCATGGGAAAGTGTATATGCTTCAACGTCAATACTTCGCACGGTCTTTGCGAACACAGAAGAAGGGCACGTGCAAGCAGTTCTTCGTGGTGTCCCTCTTAGTGGAGTAACACAAACTTTGGCCAAAGACCATCAACTTGCCGAGCACGCAGAAAGGTTGAGACACAACTGGCTGGAGCTTAACCGAACCCAACTCAGACATCTCTTCGAGGTACATCTTGTCACTACCCCAACGCAGAAGCTGCTGCTTGTGCATATCTTCCACGCGCTCTATGACGGCAATAGTATCGGATTAATCTTCCAGGCTGTATGGGACTCCTACAACGGCAAGGACGCGAATTCGGTCGCGCCTGCCTTCCATGATGCACTCGCCCATGGCCCACTAAACGTCGCCGATGGAGCGAAGAAGTTTTGGCAAGACCATCTGACCAAAGAGTCTTCTCCATTACCCACCATTTCCAGCGAGCCAGCCAAGACGACTGTCGAAGTCACCCGTAAACTGCATGCCTTTACGGGCTTTGACTCTGTGAGACGTCAGCTCAATGTTACAGCGCAAGCCGTTGCTCAAGCTTGTTGGCTGTTCGTGCTGCAAGAGCACGTCAGAAGTCCTGTGACAACCGGAGTGATAGTTTCTGGACGAAGCATTGACCTGGAAGGTGCAGACCGCATCATAGGCCCAATGTTCAACACCATTCCTTACCAGCATTGTCATGAACACGGCGAGTCATGGAAGTCGATCATCAAGAGAGTGCATGACTTTAACGTCGAAGCTCATATCTACCAACACACTGCACTAAGAGACATCATGAAGTGGTGCAAGAGAACCCCGAATCAACCGTTGTTTGACAATCTTTTCGCATACCAAGTCGCACAAGGAGACGAGGAGTGGGCAAGGAACGATGTTTGGGAGATCTTGGATGGTGACGCTGTCGCTGACTATCCTTTGGCTTTGGAAATCGAGCAGAAGACTAGTGGCGTGTTCAAACTGACCTTAGTTACTCAAGGTCATGTCGCAGATGAAACCCTAGCAGATGAACTTCTTGATCGATTCGAGGCTGCATTCCGGCAGATCTTGCAAGATCCGTCTTGCATACCAGAATCGAATGCTAGAGTGAACGGTATAGCAGAAAACGGAACTGTTCTGGAGACTGAAGCGATCCGGGATATTGGTGACACAACTCATTTCGAATGGACAAGCGAAGCGGTCAAGATCAAGGAAGAGATTGCTAACCTATCCGGTCTTGATCTCGATGGTATCAATGGAGCTACTTCTATCTTTGAACTTGGACTCGACAGCATCGATGCTATCAAGCTATCTTCAAAGCTAAAGAAACGTGGAGTGAACATTCCCGTAAGTGGCATTATGCGCGGACTGACCATCTCGAAAATGGTGCAGCACATCTCAACCAGGGAAACACCAGACAGAGAGTCTTCCCAGTGGGATCTTGACCCCTTCAAACAGTCAATGAAAAGATATCTCGAGCAACGTTCGTCTGATACCGCTAGCATTCAAGAGGTGCTTCCCTTGACACCATTACAAGAAGCCATGGTGGCAGAGATGATTGCATCAGGATACATGAGATACTACAACCACGACGTGCTCAAGCTTCGTCCTGGAGTTGACATCGGGAAGCTTCGAGACGCCTGGAGTGCAGTCATTGCAGCCTCGCCGATCTTACGGACTGGATTTGTAGAGGTAGATGACCCAGAGATCGACGGTTCTTTTGCACAGATCGTCCACAGAAGGTGCCATAACTTCTGGTCACACCTCAAGCTGGAGAGTACGCCAGACTTCACGTCAATATTCGACGAACTTCGACATGACATCGTACAGAATTCGCTGTCAACACCTGCCTTCCGACTTAGCTTTATCGATACTCCGGATCAATCCTACCTTGTTCTCTCTATCGGACACGCCTTATACGATGGATGGTCACTTAGCTTACTGCACGTCGACGTGCACCGAGCATACAAAGATCAATTCAGTCCTCGACCCGACTACGAACGTTCACTGGCAGACATTATCGCGACTTCCGGATCTGCCTCTGCAAGCTTTTGGCAAGACTATCTCTCTGACGCCGAGCAGAGCCTTTTTCCTCGACGATCGGATGCCTCTAGTGAACTCGGTAGCTACGTTCATCGCCATGAGCAAAACAGCGTAGTGCGAGTAGACAAGCTTCAAGCTTTCGCAAGGAGTAGCAATGTGTCACTGCAAACCATTGGTCAATCGGTCTTCGCTCTCGTCTCTGCATTCTATACTCAGAGCTTGGATATCACTTTCGGATCCGTACTTTCTGGAAGGGACGACAGTGAGCGATCTCAGCTGATGTTTCCAACCATGAACACAGTCGCCATACGGGTAATTCTGCATGGATCTGGAACAGATATGCTGCGTTACGTACAAGACAACTTTACAAACATCAAGCAGTGGCAGCACTACCCCCTGCGGAAAGCTCTATCCGCGGCTGGTGTTGATGGTAGACTGTTCGAGAGTTTGTTTATCTATCAGAAGAGCTCAGACACAGGGCAAGAACAAGATGAGGAAGAAAAGCTATATTCCAGTATTGAGGGCCACAGTGACATCGAATATCCTGTGTGTATGGAGATGGAAGTAGTGAATGAGGTGTTGGTATGGCGTTGTGCGGTCAAAGAGGAGGTTCTTGACAGAGAAGCGTCGAAGGAGCTATTGAATCGGATGGATGACGTGCTCAGCTACCTAATCGACCGATCAGAGGCACCTGTCATCGAGATCACCGCAAAGGGCACGTCAGTATGTGGCTTGCCGGCTTTCACGAAGAAGTCATCTCGTACGATCGGTAATTCCCAGACAATCGGAGTAAACAATGCTAGAGATCTACCAAGCACGGAAACAGCTATCAAGATCCGCGAAACCCTAGCCTCGGTATCCAAGACATCCGAAGATGAAATCACGAGCGATATGACTATCTTCCACATGGGACTGGACTCTATTAGTGCGATCAAAGTCTCTTCCCTTCTTCGCAAGCAAGGCATTGTTCTCAGCGTTGGTGGTATGCTTCGAGCTGGTACGATCCAGAACATGGCCAGGCTATTGGACGAGCGTACCGTACAGACTCTGGAAAACAATGCCGATCCTCATGAAATCATTCAAGAAATTACAGGAGGTCTGGATAGAGCAGGAATCTTGAACCGAGCTGGGGTCGACAATGCCGGTGTTACCGATATTCTGCCAGTTACTGCCGGACAGCTTTACATGCTCTCGATGTGGCTGAACACCAAAGGGAGCAACTTCTACGCGGAGTTCACTTACGAGATACATGGTGTTATGGAATTCGGTGACCTCAAAAACTCATGGCAAGCCTTGATCGAGACAACTCCTGTTCTGCGGACTTTCTTCGCATCTTCTGGCGATGAACGAATGCCGTACGTAGCAATCGTGTCGAAAGATACAAGAGCATCTATCACAAACGTTACTGGCGATGAGCATGACAACCTAGGCAAACATTTGCTAAGTATCGCTACCAGGCAACCCTTGGTGCACCTCTTCGCCTCGCAAACGGCGAGTGGCTGGGCATTGAAACTCAAAATCCAACATGCACTGTACGATGGTGTTAGTTTGCCCCTCATGATGCAACAGTTTCAATCTATCTGCAATGGCGCCACACCACCTTTACCGGATGATACGTTCGCCCAGGTGGCCGCTAGCGGCCACACAGCATCAGCGATGATGGAGAAGAAGACCTTCTGGGCGGGATATCTCGCAAGTCTGTCACAAAGCCATCTGATCCAGCCGTCTAGGAGCCCAGGAATGAAGACAGAGGTTTTCGTTCCAGCCTTGCTATCGACCTCGAATCTGGAGGCCACTGCTCGTCGACATGGTGTTTCAGCGCAATCAATCTTCCTCGCTGCGTACGCAAAAATCTATGCTGTAAACTCATCCAGCCGAGACGATGAGGACGTAGTCATTGGAGTCTACCTTGCGAATCGCTCGCTGCCTATCGATGGTGTAGCATCTGCAGTTGTACCTACAGTCAACTTGTTACCACTTCGCGTGAAGACGCCACTCGGTCGAAAGCTTACAGAGCTAGCTGGCGAAGTTCAACATGATCTCCAAGACATCAGTAACCCATCGAATGCGTCTGCAAGCCTTTTTGAGATCAAGGAGTGGACTGGTGTCCAGGTCGATACATTCGTCAACTTTCTCTCTCTACCAGATACACAAGTGGTGGAGGGAGATGCCCATAATAGGGAGGGCATCACAATCAACCCAGCTCAACACTGGCAGGAATCAGTCGGTAGGGTATCGACAATCGAGGATTGCAGCTTTGAGATACCTGCTGGGCTAGTGAATGAGCGCGTGAACGGGGCATACTTGGTAAGTTGATATGAGCGACAAGTTACAGCTGAATTGGAGAGAGACTAACAGACACATAGCATGCTGTCGATGTCGAGGCCACAATACGCAATGGTGCTCTGGATGTAGGCATCTTCGCACCAACTGAGATGACAGGTCTACAAGACGGCGAGGAGCTGGTACGAGATCTGAGGAGACAACTCGAAGAGTTGTAAAAGTGTATCTTCTTTCATTAATCTCTGGAATCGAAGAACAACAGGCGTCTGGTTTCTTTACAAGTACTTGATTTTCATAGTTGAATCTGTTACAGCTTCTTCATGACTTAATCTGGATTCATAACTTATATAGACCTTCCACAATATAGTTTCGCTCAACCTACCCTGGTCCCCTTCAGCTACCTGCCTATCCGCCCAAACGCTCCACTCAGCGTCAAAACTCTCATTGTCCAAAGCACGACTGTAATTGCCACATTCCCCATCATAACCTCGTTATAGCTATCGAAATTCCAAAACACCTCGCTGCCCATGCCTATGTAGTTCGCCCACATGTGACCCATATCCCCGCACGCCAGTATCATCAGGTAATATCGTGTGGTGCGTACATCTCGTGTGACGGATGTGCAGAGGATGTTCAAGGCGGCGAGAATCAAGAAGAGGCTGCCAAGGGAGTAGGCGAGGAGTATGGCAGTAGGAGGTGGTGGCGTTGGGGAGAGGGAAACGGGGAGCTGTCGCTCCGTGAAAGAGATGGGATCTGTAAAGGCGGCATGGGCGCCTAGGAGCTCCGACACTATAGGTTGTTAGCTCTGGAGGGCTTTAAGTTGGTAGAGAAGGTATTCCTGGTCCCGTGGGACACGTCTAGGTGCTGGCGCATAGCGTTGGAGAAGAAGGAGAGACTGGGCTTACTGGGCTCTAGGTAAGTAAATACCAAGGCTGGCCAGAAAGGAAGGCTTGTTCCCAATGCCATAGCAAAGTCGACTAGGAATTACGGGTTTTAAACCACAAGCTGAGATTGGCCTTGACTTGATAACGCGTACCTGTGTGCGATCTTGTTATATGGCGCGCCATGGCTCGACCCGCGCGGGCATGTGTTCGGAATCAACTCGGGAAGATTCCGATGCGTTTCGGCAAAAACAGGGCTTCACGCTTGGATGGAAATCCAACAGTAGTTGATACAGGTAATTATTAAAATTGACTCTATACTATAGTATCGTGGTATTCCCAGAGACCATTAACGCCTCGCTATCATAATCGTCAAATCAGAGTTGCCAACTTGGCATCTCCAGTAAACGCCCTACTTAAGCTCTGTTCCCAGTGTTATATCAACTGCACCTCACAGCACTCGGTAGATACGTAGCCCTATGCTACAGGCTGACATATCTGAGATTTCTACCAGCCTAAGCTGCAACTTAGACCATCTGCTCACCATGCCTGTCGGCACCGACAGGTTTCCTCTGAACACGGCTCGAGGCACTGCCGTGGTGGCCATGAGCAGGGCCGTCAGGGTGTGGCATCATGGTACCCCTAGGACCATCTGCAGCATCGAACGGCGCACCGCCCCAGCTAGTTCCCTCAATTGTACCCCATCCGGCCTTGCGAGTGAAGACGGCATCGTGGAATCCATCGAAAGAGCTTGGGCCGGCGCCATAGACGAAAGGAGCGTGACGCATGAGAGGGATATGGTTGAAGCGAAAGTCCCAGACTGAGGCGTAGGTCATGCGGTAGGCGCTGAAAGCCATGAAGGTGCCAATGACGGCTCCAGCAAGGATGTCGTACTGGATATCTGTTAGCAATGATCTCGATATTTGAAGCGACAGCTGTAAAGACTTACCCAGTTGTGGTATTCGTCGATGGTCAGGGCACCGCCGATCAAGCAGGCTCCAAGAATAGGTGCGTAAAGAGCGATGAGCTTCCACATAGCCGGGTGATGGTTGGAGAAGACCTTCAACTTGGCGTTGAGGTACAGATACAGGTAGACAAATCCAGCGAAGGCAGCCGTGGTGTGACCAGAGGGCATGGACTCGAGACTGTCGTTGATCTCCTTCCTGTCACCCGTGCAGATGCTGCGGTCGAACATGATCTGGCGGTATCCATTTGCGACGTTACCGTAGCCGCTACCAGCGTCAACGCCATTGTCGTTGGTGCCGACGGTCGGGAGAAGTTCGGCAGGGATGACAGGCTTGCAGACAGCAAGGAAGTGAGGGCGCAAACCACCAATAAGCCACTTGACGAAGACTTGAAAGACAGCGGCAGTGATCAAGGCGTAGAGCAGACCGATGGTTGCGTTGTTGATGTCCCAGAAGCTGCGAGCGCGGATTTGAACGATCAGGAAGACAGCAAAGGGAATGAAGAAAGCCATCAGAGCAGCAGCCCAAATCGGAACGATCTCGTTACGCATAGGGTAAGCGAACTGGGGATAGACAATCTCACCATCTTGGAAGATGATGGGGAAGCTGCGGCTTGGTGCTGGGTCAGCGAAGTAAACACCAAGACCGACAGCGCCCATGAGAGCCATAGTCAGGATATCGAGCCAGGTAGCCTTGAGCCATGATCCAAATCCAGGTCTGCTGTTGTAGGACGATGAGCCGCCCTTGGATGAACGCCTGGGTCTAGTCCGCTTCTCGTGAGCACCAGTTGCCGTTGTAGTGTCTGCGGCGACAGGCGTCGTGTTGCGCTTGTTAAAGAAACCCATGTTTGTGAATGGTGGGTATGGTTGTCGTGATGCTCTGCTGAGGTACTGGAGTGAGGTATCTATACGTCGTGCCGATGACGTATTGTTGTCTTTGTTGTGATTGTTTGCTCCGGAAAGAGTAGTCTGGGACAGCAAACCGCGTAGCGTGCCAGCAAAGCAAGCAGTACCCTACACTTAGCGTACCGACCGAGTATTCAAAGTGAATGAAGATAGGGATGGGCCTTGTGAAAACTAGACAGGAAGGCTTGCGATACGTCCCTTATATTCTAGGTCGGCAGCCCCCAAAGCTAATCTTCCCACGACACACCGTCACACGCTCACGTATTCTGCGAAACGACATCATTTCTCGCACCTCTCCCGCCGCATTGGTAAATTATCAGCCACAAACCTGTTACTAACCCTGCTTTCATCCTCGATCTGAACGGTTGGCGGCATAGTGATGTGGAGGAAATGAAGATCTTAACGCGATCAAGCGACCTGAGACAAGGAATCTTGGAAGCTGGCAAAAGCTTGGTTCGCGTAGCAAAAGCTTGGTTATGCTAGCGGTGGCTTCTGTGTGGCTGATAGAGTGGCAGTGATGTAATAAGTGGCTACACGGCACATCTGATGCCGGATTGTCCTTTATTTCTTCACGATGTGTGGCGCTGCGTCGATGGTGTCGCGTAACCTGCATGTTTCGATTTTCAGTGTGGATGACCGCGAATGACCTTGAGTGACGTCAGATCGTACAGTTATTTGAGGTCTAGAACGGTCACTCTTCCATGATTTAGCAATACTTTAATTTGTATCTATGCGAAACATATTAGCGACGTTCTGACTAATGAAGAACGGAGACGCGTCTCCAGGTACAAATACTGGCTGACTAGTTGTGCTGCAAAACTCGCCTGTCTCACGCAATCGTTATGGAGCATCGCAGGAAAATACGTGTAATTTCAAATACAATCAAATCTGGGTATGACAACGACGCGCAACACGTGAAAACTACATTCAGCCCAAAAAGCCCCTGAAAGCCAATAGGCGAACCCTTCAACCAGCCGCTTTAACGTCCTTACTCTCTCTCTCTGGGTATCATCCGCCTTCAAATATCTCAAAACTCCTTCCCCCCTCAACTGTGCGTGTATGCCACTATGTGCGACCCCCACATTGCCTAAGAGTGGATGTGTACCTCAGTGGTTCCACTGCGGTGCCAAGTCGCAAGCAGCACACCACAGCGGCCACACTTGTGCTGAACGTCCTTGAGCGAGTTCATCACGTAGGGGATACATCCTAAGCAGCAGAGGCAGCACAGACCGAGAGCCCAGGCGTGTGTGGTGTTTCCCGTCTCAAACGCGACGTTGGTCATGGCGCGTTGTCCGCACGCAGGACAATCTGCAGGCGCAGGACCGCGGTTTAGGCTTGCAATTGGTGTTGCGTTCTGGTAGACGGCTCCGCTTTGTTGCTGGGGGGGCATGCCAGGCTGAGCGCCAGCATGGTCGGGCTGGATGTATGCGCCTTGGGGGTGTTGGGGTGGCGGTGAGCCAGCAGGCTGGCCTTGAGGATGTTGCGCGTACATGGCTGGTTGCTGTTGATAGTGTTGCGCGTTTGGATCTTGATGATAGATAGGTGGTTGGCCGGTCATGTCTGGTGACTGAGGATATTGCTGCATAGGTACTTCAAAACTGTCAGCAAGAGAGCCATTGTGTTTGAGGTTTGGGAATTAAAGGCTGGAGAGCGGCGTGGTTATTCCAAACAATCATGCAAGTTCACTCGAATGCATTGAATTGTGTGAGGTTGAAGCGCAATGTCATAAGGAAGGCGACTGCTTACCATTTTGCTTCTCCATTGCGAAGGTTTGTATTGTCAAAGTCAGTAGGATGTTAAGTCTGGGTGTTGCGGTGGTGAGAAAACAGCCAGAGTTGTCGAGTAGTGTTGGAACAGCGGTACACTAGATATAAGAATAGTCGTGGGTTTTATCAAAGCATTAAGGCGTTCCGTATCGCTTGGGTCCATAGCCAAGGGGGCTCAAGGCCGGGTGTCGCGAGCACAGCCCTCATTTCGCGTGAAGATCAGTCGCCCTTGTCCCCGCGTAAGGCTCCTAGCTGATGAACGAGGCCAATGAACAGTCCCAAGCTCCTACACGTAGCATGATTACATGCACGCCTTCAGCCTCAGCTGCCTGCATTCGGGATAGGTTGACGGGCGTTGGCGACGTTGGCGATGGAAGGGTGTCAATAGCGCGCCAGGGAAAAGCGAGCCAAGGCTGCAATTTCCCGAACCAGTTTGGTGGTGTGCTAGAGCTTGGGGGCCAAATCTACACCACCTTCGTCTTTGTGCAAAGTCGTGTTAAAACGCCTTGCTGACTAGCTGCGCCGCAACGGGCATCGGCATGTTTTCTCGCCACGTCTGCTTGGCCACATCACTTCAATCCTCGAGAATGGACACCTGATTGAAGTATGATGATATTCAATATTAGGCGTAAGGCTGTGCAGTCTGCAACAGCGATCAGCACGTGAATACAAGAAATGTATGTACTAGCGTTTGGGGGCTGGCTGTTCCTGCAGGCGCCTATATTTGAGACCATGTGCCGCTTTTGGCGTCCACTAAGCTCGACGAAATAGAGTGCGCGGAGTGTTTGCGGTGTCTTTTTCCATCTCACCGGTCATGCACGGTCTACTTAATCCATCAGTATCGCGTATCCATGTCATCCAGATCGACGTCGTCTTCTGACTCTTCGCCATTTGTATGCTCTGCGCGACCGATATCGCTCCCGCTTAACAGCTTTTGCTGTTCAGGAGTCAAGTCCACGATAGTGGGTGCATAGTCGCCTAGCTCGTCGTCTGCATCTGCGCCGTTGACTTCCATCTCTACCCGCTCGCCGTCCTCCAACTCCAACATGCCGCGCTTCAGATACGAGCCCTCTGGTTGCCATCCAAACTCTTTCTGCATATAATCCTGCAGATCGTCCAGTTCGTCTACCAAATCGGCTTTCCATTTTCCGTCGAAGTCGTCGAGAGCTTTACGGAACTGACCGAAGAGCGGCTTCAAGAAGCCCCCACCTACGTCGTTCATATCGAACAAATCACCCTCCATGTCGGCACAATGACCAAGCTGTATCCTTAGACATTTCAAAAAGTCGAGGAACAGGTGGGATCGCTGTTTGACTGCCTGGCGACAAGTGAGTAAGAGTCGCAGAAGTCGTTTCCATTGTTCGAGACAGGAGTTGTTGTTGAGTGTCAAGACCATGAGGAAAGTAAACTGCAACTCGCCCAAAATCTCGTTTTCTCGACCCCGTAAGTCCCCTGCCTGGCAATGGTTGTCGATAAGATCACCGAGGAACCAGGATCGGTCCTGTGCAGCTTCTGTGCGTTCCCTTCCAGTCGCGCCTTCTCTCCAGGTCTTTTTGAGATCGATGGGTAGGAAGCGAAGCTCTTTCTCTGGATGTAGCATGCTATTGCTAGTCTCTAGGCCCGGTATGTCATCCAGGTCCTGTGTGGCAGAAGACGCGGATGTCAAGTTCCAGTGGTCGGGGTTCAGCCCGCATATCCTCGATAGCATGGTGGGTGTGACTTGTGATGTAAGCTTGCTCCAGTCTGTAGACTCCTCGGACCAGCCTTCTTCAGCTCCAGAATCACCCTCTTGTACACTTTGGCGATATGGCGTCAAGCCGTCTTTCCATATGCTTCCAAGATTTGCCTTGTGTCGCAACACTTCTGTCTGCGAAGTCTCGGCTACCAGATCTTCGGCACTCTGGTCCCACTTCTTGACGAATACTTGTGGCGAGCCTACACCAGGTGTGACATAGAACCATGCGCCATGTCTTACAGACAAGGTGCTGTCACTTGCAGTAAAGACGAAATGCAGGCCAGGCGGAACATTCTTGACACCCTGAAAACGCGGTGATGATGTAAAGGAGAGTAGGTCGATGCCAGCAAGTGCTTTTGGCGGCAGATTCAACAGTAGTACGCAGTTGTTGATTGTCGAAGGGTCCATGCTAGGGCGGAAGATTTCCTCGAACCAGGAATGTCGTAGAATTTTGAGGAGAGGTTTTTCGCAAAGCTCTACTCGAGCAGGTGAGAAATGGGGTATCATAAATTCCAGAAAGGGTAAGACGCAAAAATATTAATACACGTGAGCGCGGCAACCTAGCTCTGGGCCAGGGTCCAGTCGATGAATGGCGTGGGTCAACAAAGTACAGACGAAGAGAAAGCGAAGGGAAAGAAGAAGTTTGCGTCCAGGCGTCGCGCCCAGGGCTTAAGATTATGTTGTCGCATGAGTAGCTATCAGGTAACGTGTGGCCATCTGATGCCCTGTACCGGAAAAGAGCGCCCGATATCTCACCGAGCAGGGCGCCATACGTCATTGAGTTAGCATGAGGCTCGGCTCGGCATGACGATCTCCCCCGACTCCGCTTGTGGTGGAGGGAACTGTGTGATTGATGCGTGTTCCTTGACGAGAGGCTGCTGTGACAAGCATCTTGCTGTCTAGATGCGATCTGCGTGCACGACGTCTTGGCCGTCTGCCTCGTCTGCCCATCCGACCTGACCGACTACCAGTAGCCCTTACCGTGCAAGCGGATCTCTCAACAGACCCTGCATCACGCCGACGTTTTGGCTGCATTCGTCGGAGCTACCAAGCACCAACACGCGCACCAAGACAACGACGACAACGACAACGACCATGGACCGCCGCCGCGCTCCGGGGCTCTCCTCGCTCTCCTCACGCGGTCTACAGAACCACCACTACACGTCCCATGGCGCCACGCTCCGCACCCGCAATGCAGACTCGCTCTCCACCCAACTCTCCGTCTTCCAATCCCTCGTCCACAACTTCGCCGTCACACACTCCAAGGACATCCGCGCCAACCCCGCTTTCCGCGCCGAGTTCGCGCGCATGTGCTCGGCGCTGAACATTGACTTCCTCGCATCGTCGTATCACCGGGACAGCAAAGATGGCAAGGCGAGTGGGGGAGGTGGTGAGAGCATCTGGGCACAGCTGCTGGGTGGGAGTGTGAATGACTTCTACTTCAACCTGGGCGTCTTGATTGTCGAGGAGTGTCGGGCCACGAGATCGGAGAACGGCGGGCTGATAAGCGTCTCTGATCTCAAAGCACGCATATCCAAATCACAGCGCATCGGTGGAAGCATGCAAGTGAGCGATGACGACATCAAGCGCGCCGTAGACTCGCTCGCTCCGCTTGGTTCGTGCTTCTCCATCATGAAGATCGGACATAGAAGCTTGATAAGAAGCGTGCCCAAGGAGTTGAACACGGACCAAAGCACGGTGCTCGAAGCCATACAAGTTCTCGGCTACGTCACAGTATCCATGCTGCAGCTGAATCTCAACTGGGAGAGACCTCGGGCCCATGCTGTCGTCGAAGACCTCATGGCAGACAGTCTGGTATGGGTAGATACACAAGCTGGGGAGAATGAATACTGGAGTCCGGCCTTCCTGACTGCGGCCGCGGGAGATGTGACATTATGATACCCGGTGTTACCACCACCAACGACTTCGCAGACGGCCAGAGAGCTGGGTTTGGGAGCAAAACTCATCATTATATATACAGTCTATTGTACAACATTTTCATCACCACAGGAGTTCAGTGTTGCAGATCCTAGCCTCTTCACTGTCTCTCCACGCTCCCTTTGTATGGCTCAATTCAGGCAGCAGTCTACGGTGCCACCGCACACTCCATCTCCGAGCAGTATCCTCGTCGTCAAAATCCAGCACCCATCGATTGTACACGCGATTCATGACCAGTTGGTTCTGCTGACTCGGGCTATCTTCATCTACACCACCTAGCATGCTCTGGATCGCCGGATCATCATACGTCATCTCCGAATCAGAACTCGACTGATCAAACGTGCCGTATGCGCGCGGACGGCTCGACGAGACAGCCTTGGACGACACCTTAAGGTTGATCATGTCGCGGAGACGATGGATCGACGTTTGTGATTCGTTACGGAGAGGAAGAATCATGCCGTGCTTGTACGCGTCGCGAGAGAAGATCTTGAAAAGGTCCGAGGGTGTAGGCTCGTAACCTTCAATATGCATGAGTACCCTCCAAATTGGATTTCCCTTTGCGTCGACCGAGGGTGCGATGGGTTGGTAGCCGCCTCTCTCAACCAAGTTGCGTAGGGCAGGGTTGTAGGGCTGCATCAGAACGTTCAAGCTCATGGGGTGGCGTGTAGGTAAGAGGTTGTAGGATGAGATGGCGGCCGTGATGTCTTCGCCTTCTTCAATGAACCCCTTAGGTGGTGGAATGGCGGAGAAGATATTCGCAGGTTGATGGAGGGCGCTCAATTTGTGCAGCCGCGAAGCGTTCTTCTGGTACGCAAGAGCTGCTTCTGCGCTCTTGAAGAGGAGGTAGTAAAAGGGTAGACGCTCGAGACTCAAGGGGTCGCGACCAGGTACGACCTTGTACAAGTCATCGTCTCGATGCCAACCTTCAATGTGCTTGCCCTTTGGTATGATCCGACGGAAATCGGCTTCAGTCAACTCAGTGCTGCAATTTGTGAGCTGGAGAACAGTGACTTGCTCTCCTTGCTTATGCAAGGATTCAACCACTCGCTCTTTGAATGACTGAGTATGATTGGAGTTTTCTCGACGAACGACAGGCGTTGAGTCGGGGAGGTGGAGCTTTGGGTACCGGTCTCTTGGCTCAGACTGAGGTTGTGAAGTACTACTCGTTTCCGGGAAGAGCTCCTCAAGAAGCGATTGCTCACTCAATCCAGATGTATCGGGTGTTGGTTTGGAAGGCACATCGTCCGTAGTAGTTGTAGAACGCTCTAATCTCAGCCTTGAATCTGGCGGTACTTTGTCCTCAGTCCCCAAGGTCTCCTGAAATACCGTGCTCTTTCGGATACTATCCTCAGTGGTCGTGTTGATAGGGTTCGATGACTTCATCGAACGGGGCTGCGTATGAAGCCGACGCGTCAATCTCTCACTATCGCTCTTTTCCTCCAAGTTGTTTGACACGATGCTACTCTGAGCCCTGAGCGTGGTTTCTGTATGATCGCGATTAGGCTCAGCCCCTTCTGCGTGAACAAGGTCCCAGTTTCTGTAGCACGATCGTAGTAGAGTCCTAAGCTTGAGATCATTCTCTAGTTTTGCGACTTCATCTAACACACGCAGGCGATTGCGAACATGCCTGGCAACAGGGGCTACCGCAGGAGAACGCATTGCCTCTAACCGGGTAGCGGTCTTGCCTAATGTGACAACTGAATGACGCCAAGCTCGTTGACTATGCGGAAGAGCATCAGAACGAGACCTTGAGGAACGAGTCCCTGTATGCGCATGACGAGAGAAATCCCCACCCATGGCCAATGGTCTCCTCATTGATAGCGACTGCATCGACACAAATTGTTGCTCATTTCCCTCTAACGGTGCATGCTCCGTGGATGAAGTGTGATTTTCCTGGCGAGTCGAAGATGGTTGCCGATCCACCACGGTCTTAGCTTCCAGAGCGGCTTCGAGAGCTTTGACTTGCTCAAACAAGCCTTGAATCTGCTGTCGTATGATCGCAATGTCGTTGGTTTGAGGGCTTGTAGCAACGTCCTCGCTGATCGCTATTGGGGGTTGTTTCCGTTGGACTTTCTGTATGGTGGGTTGCTGCTCCCGTGTATTTTCACTCTTCTTGTGAGTGTCGGGAAAAGACGACACTTTTCTCAGAACGACTGGTTGATCTGATGACTTCTCTGAAGGAGTGTTTGACGTCCTCACTGGAAGGAAGTCTTGATCTCGACTCTCGGTGTTGTCTGCCTGTTTCCCGTGTGTACGTGCTTCCGAACGCAGTATCCTTCGCTGACGCTCTGCCGGCGATTCCACTATTCTTGCGATCTGCCCAGCCCCAATTTCCGAGGTTTGCTCTTCAGACAGGTCCTTTTTCGCTTCGCTTGAGTACGAGGTAGGAGTATCTTGTGGTTGCGGTTGCGAATCTGGCCGTGGTTCGGCAGATGATGTCTGAGAGTCCCATGGTGTAATTCTGCTCAAAGCTGAAGTCCACCAACTTTTCCTCTCTGTGTCGTGGCTGTTCGTAGTCGTGGTTTGCGGGGACTCATCGCCGACGGTCGAGGATTGTGCGTAGGTCCTCCTGTGGGCGCACCGGATCTGGTACGCGGTCCCTGAGGGATGACATGGCCGAAGATGTCCGGGAAGGCGCGGCGGTGGCATCAATTGTGCAGCTTCGTTACATTGCAAGCTGCCCTCTTACGAGCCCAATACTCAAAAGCTTCGGAACAAGGCCGCGCTAGCGTGTCCATTAGGCCTAGTGCCTCGGTTCGCTTAGTCACCCCAATACTCTCCACCACAGTGGGCAGCATGCAAAGATTCTGGAAGTGCTACGCTAGGAGACACTGGTGGAGCTGGATTCGGTCCACCTACTGCTCAGAGGCTTGAGCGTGAGAGACACTCACACAAACACGTGACGTGAGTCACACCAATATACCAAACCATCTCTGAGATTTTCATCACCTACCTTCGCCGCAGTAGGAAGTGATAATATGAGTCCAGCAACGTCCTACACTCTACGTCCGCTGGAGCGTAATCCGCCTAGCATACCCGGCAATGCGCTCGAGGGTGGCGCTTTCCGTGTGCATCTATCGCAAAAAGAATTAAAAGCGCTGGGACTTGTCAACGGTGACTGCATTCGACTAAGTACAGCTGCTGGTTTCAAAGGTCACGGAGTAGCTTGGCTAGCCTCTCAGACGAACCCTGGAAACAAGCCAATTGCCAAGGTGACTGACCTTCTGCGAGAGCAATACAATCTTTCTCTCAACGATCCTGTTTTCATCGAAAAGGTCGACTCCTGGAAGCCTCTCAAATCCATAGAGATCGATCTTGCGGATGCTCAAAATCAGATCGCCAAATTCAGCTCAAATGAACAACTTCTGTACTGGCTGCGACATACTTTAGGTAGGTCAACGGGTACTTCCTGACTAGCAGTTCTAACGTTCCCGTAGCAGTCGACTCCGACATTATTCTCCCAGGATGCAGCTTTCCAGTCCAGCAGAAAAGCTTCAAGCAGAAGAGCCACAAGATGCGCGTCACTGTGCAAAACATTGACCCGCATCCGACTGAAAAGCACGCAGTGTATTTCGATGAGCTCATCACTCAAGTCACCACCACTGGTGGCGTTCCCATTCAGCAAGCACCGAGAGCTCCTACACAAAACTTTCAAGTAAGGTTCGATGGGATTGGCGGCCTCTCTAGCCACTTTGCTACCATAAATAAACGCCTCTCTTATCTCACGAAAACCCTGCCTCATCAACGCGACCTACGCCTGTGTGGACCTACTTCTTTCCTACTACATGGCCCTGAGGGAACTGGCAAAAGTCTTCTGCTCGAGCGACTAGCGGAATGCCCATGGCAGGAAGTGTACCGCATAGATCCGGATACGCAACCAAAGGCACAAGCAAAGGCAATATCCGAAGCTTTTGAGGACGCTCGTGAAAACCAACCGAGCTTGATCCTCATGGACAATCTTGATAGGTTCCTCGACAAGGCTGATACACTTGTGAACAAACTGCGGACCGAACTAGCAAAGTTGGGTGGCAGCCAAGTAGTTGTCGCGGCAGCAGCACGCAGCATATACGACATTGATACTAGCCTTCGGTCACCGTCAGCTTTTAAGACAAAGCTCGAACTCTTTCCACCTAATGCTAAACAGAGAGAAGATATTCTAAGACAGATCTTGGGCACTACTAGCAGACTTGGTGACCTTGACTTCACGGCGCTAGCAGAACGCACCCATGGCTTCGTCGGGCGCGACATTCACGATTTATGTCTTCTCGCAAGAGACCAACGAGAACAGCAGATAGACGAGTCGATAAGCGAAGAGGAGAAAACCACATTTGGCGAGAAACTTGAGCAGACAGACTACGTGCGTCAAGAGGACTTTGATGCTGTATTTGGCGAGGTACAACCGACGGTATTGAAGGACAGCATTCTCGAAGTTCCAAAGGTCAGATGGACAGATATAGCTGGTTTGGATCACGTCCGCGCCGTGCTTGAAGCCATCACTATTCGTCCTTTCAAGGTGAGTTCCAACTACGCATATTCTCGCATGTCGCAATGCCTTGTATATGGTGTCCTGCGCTTTCATCAACATCTGCAATCTGTTCACCATACTAACAGCGTTTCTAGTATCCCGACCTCGACGTCAAATTTGGTGGACCTCAGTCTCGCAAAGGTGTCCTGCTCTACGGTCCACCTGGTTGCGCAAAGACTTTGATCGCGCAAGCCGTCGCAACAGAAAGCAAACAAAACTTTCTTGCAGTGAAAGGCTCCGAACTCATCAAGATGTACGTTGGAGAATCTGAGCGAGCTATTCGCGACGTGTTCCGCAGAGCACGCGCAGCGAAACCTTGCATCATCTTCTTCGACGAAATCGACTCCATTGGTAAATCGCGTGAGAAGACGCAGGATAGCGGCCTGAACGTCGTTACAACGCTATTGAATGAAATGGATGGTATCGAGGCACTGAAAGATGTCTTCATCATTGGTGCTACCAATCGACCTGACATTCTCGACTCGGCGCTCATCCGTACTGGCCGTTTTGATGCGCATATTCACATCGGCCTCCCAACCGAGGAAGCGCGAAAGCAGATCCTGCAGATTCACACGCGAAAGAGGCCGCTCGCAGAAGACGTTGATCTAGACGTTGTTGCTAAGAGGACTGAAGGGAGCAGTGGAGCAGATCTCAGTGGGTTGTGCGCTGTTGCTATCGAGTTGGCGATTACAGAGTATACAGAGGATCCGAGCCGTGAGGCAAAAGTGCATATGCGGCACTTTGAGCAGGCGTTACAGCAGCACGTTCCACATACCATTGCAGCGGAAGCAGAACGGTATAAGAACTGGCGACCAGGCAAGTCGTTATCGGAGGACTAGATCGACAGTGTCATCGGTTTTACCTGACAATGCATTATCTACCCATATTGATCAGGCTATTTGGGCCAACGTATTTTGTCCAAATCGTACCCCAGAGGGCTTCGCAGTGTTTTGCTTCTATAGTATATCAATACAGGACACAGCTGATACTTTCGGGTTACATTATAACACAATCAAGCAAGGGTATTGTGAAACAGATCCGCGACGCCGTTCTCTCCTCTGCACCAAGATTCAAGGTTGGTTTTCTTCGCTCAACCAGCAAGCTCCGTCTCTTTAAAAATTGGTATGTTGATGTCGAACTCCTCATCACACTTTGCCACTCTGCCCAAGATACAGTTGACTTTCTTCCTTGTCTGCTCGCTCATGTCCGCCACATGCGTCAGCGCGATATGATTCATGAGTGTTTCCACTCCGCCATAAACCCCCGTTACCTTGTCCTGTGCCAGGCAAAGTACGCAGCCAAAGTTGTCGTCGTTCGAGGTAGGGTCTGATGCTTTCTTCTTGACGTGGGATTTAGCGAGAAATATCCATCGATAGCGTATTCCCGACATCGAGATCTTGACTCGCGGATCAACAATTTCGACAGTCTTGTTCTTCTTGGTGGGATGCGGTGCAGTGAAGACGTCGCCTGTGAACGTGCTGCAGATGTAGAAGTACCAAGTCAGTGTATGTCTTACATGCATTTCGTACAGTCACAACCTACCATGACTTGCAGCCCCAGATTTGTCTCGTATTATAGTAACCCAAGGGCTGGGTACGAACGCTGATGCCCTTCTTAGGGTCCTCTCTTACAGCCCAGGCACCTTTACAGAACCCCCAGTAATCGTTATCCTTATTCGGGCGCCCGTTCATCATTCTTTCTCCGCCTGCAGGTCCGCCCTGTATAGTATCGGATCTGATGCTGTTGCGCATACGGTGACCTGGAAGGATACCGATCGGAGCAGAGCTACTACTGTCGGTCGAAGCGACAGAGGGCGTGATGCTGGCGTGTCGAGGGCGGAAGACAGCTGTAGACCCTGGCACCGAAGAAGGAGAAGCTACAGTTGGGGGAACGTACGCAGTAGTTTGGCAATCGCTGTTACTGCGTAAACTAGATGTACCACGTTCTGTTGGAGGCGTCACGTAATACTGAGGATGCGTTGATTTACTAATGTCCACGGCGTCCTTTTCAATTGGCACACTGTATGGCTGTATTGGGTTATATTGTACTGGTGACATAGACTGCAGCGGAGGGGGAGAATCCTGGTGGGGCCATGGCATATGTGTTGGTGCACTCACGTCATTCTTGGGAGAACTAGTCGATGGCGCATTGGTTTGAGGACGTAAGGGTGCCAGTGGTGCGATAGGCGAGGGTGTATATCTGTCTTCTGCAGTTGCGTAGGGAGAGGTATACGGTGAGCTTTTATAGATCTCATCGTGTTGATCGTATGATGACACTGGAGGGCGGACATGGTCACCTTGCGATGAATTAGAGCTGTTGCGACCGAGAGAAACCGCATTCGACTGCGCTGAGCTAGAGGCATCTGACCATTGAGGATGCAGCGTTTGCGTTTGTGTCTGGGGGTACTGATTGTTTATCTGTGAGGATTGGTTAAGTAACGGGCCATGGGGACGTCGGGGTACGCTTCGGTCCTTCTCTTTCATTGCTTCGTCATAGAATTCTCTGTCATTGAGCATGGTCAGGGTATCGCGTCGGGCAGGATGACCTCCGCTATGCGCATGGCCTTCTGGTGGTCTTTGTTCGTTCTCAATACCCAGTCCTTGGTAAGAGCTTATTATATGTTGAATGTCTCTCAGAATAGATGCACGGTCTCCAGGGCGGAGTCCATCCAAAGCTAAACTGAAGTTTGGATCTGCAGTTTGTGCAGGTGTGTAGGCCGATCGAGAGCCGCTAGACGTATCTCTAGTAGTCTTGCTCCCGCAATAGTCGGCCAAAGTATATCCTGTATCTCCAGGATCCATGTGTGGTAAGAAGCTTGTGGTAGGATAACTGTCCGATAGCGAGTGGATCCTGCCGTAATCATGCGCTTGTGCGGTCCGCACGGATGCACCCGTATGATCTTCCCCAAGCGGCCACAATTGCCGCACCATAGGCCTTGCTATGTATATCCTCTGTTTCAATTCGTCCAATGTCGTTAACGTCTCTGTCCGTTTCGTGATCGAGGCTTCGTGTAAGACATGTAAATTGAGAGGCAAGACCCCGCTAGACATTAAAAGTAAGTATTGTGCTGATATGAGTCGTCGGACTACTTACTTTGTAGCAGCTTGCTGTAAGCTATTGATGATCTGAGCCTGTAGCATGAATCCTATATGGTAGAGGCGCTCTCGAGCGGTATCTGTGCGCAGACATCAGCTCTGAAATCTACCGGAAGAACTTCTATCATAAAACTCACCGTCTCCTACGCGAACATAGTCGCCTAACTCTCTCTGATCTTGTTTCCACCTTAGGTCAATCTGTTGCTCCCCTGCCAACAAAGAAGCTTGCAGTTGCTCTTCTTGCCATTCTTGTTGAGCTTGATCGCGGGCTTTGCGAGCGCGGCGTTTCTGCTTGACAAGTTTGAGCAGCTCTGATCCACCATGGAAGGCTGATACGACAGCAGAAACAGCTGCGACAATCTAGATAATAGTAAGTAATAGCCAAAAGGTGAGGTCGCGTGCCCAGTCCAGAAACTAGGGAGGGTATATACAGAGCTCCAGAATGATGTCTAGGACGCAAGATAGCAACTTACCTCAAGACCGGACATCCTGTAAACGCTTGTTTCTTGCTGCTACAGTCGCTGAACTTTGTGGATTGGCTAGACAGCGCATCCAGCTCGTATCAATACCATTGGCGCGTAGCCTCGGATCGGTATTGCTATATGTCGAATGAAAAAGAGCTAAGGTCCAACGGTTCTCAAGTTGGCGGTCCCAGTGGACTCTCGAAGATCAGGTTCACTAAGCCTGAGAGGACGTCCAGTCGTGTATGGTGGTAAGCCTTCTATGGTCCTTGCTTGATCCGCGCGAGGGCAAGCAGAGCTAGGTGTCGAGCCGTCGCGTGGGATTATCCTGTCTAGGGAAAAGACACTGACGCCGGAATAAAGTGAAATGATTGTAAAGCGATGAGGGAAGTTGCTTGGAAGGCTGGAGAGGGTTCCATGCCATTGGTACTCAGCCTCACTCGAGCCGGAACGGATGGCATGCGACCGCTGTATACATTAGGCTAAGCCCTTGGTGAGCCAACAGCAGGCGACAGCATTGCTTGACCGAGGTGCAGTGCTCACTGTGCTATCTGGGGAGGTCTCTCCAATAAAGGAACTGTGGCTGTAGCGCCAGGCGGGCTATGTGGTGTCGTCTAACCTGAAAGCGAATGGCATACGGTATCACGAAGCGGGAAAGACTTGGCCGGTGGCTTTCTTGCAATCACACTTTCGACTAGTACAGATAGATGTACTGTGCTGCCAGTAGGATTGCTTATCGTATCGGGGGAGGCTTGAAGTTTGCTAGCAAGGAGGTGGAGCTGGACGATAGCCCGCGCCCCTGGCAGTCGCCTAAAAGCCATCTTTGTATGGAACGAACATAATGCTGCGCATGAGCTCCAAGTCTCGGAGGCACAAGGCTGGAGCTTGATGATTCCTATTGAAGCTTGGTATGGATGGGTGCCAGGAGATGAGAATGCGCCTTCTCGCCTGTCGCGCAGTCGCGGGACATCGCGAGCGGGGTCGTTCGCGCCATAGCCACCACGCCGCCCATGTGCCCTACCGAGAGTCCGAGACGAGTTACAGCCATGATCTGTGTATAGCGAAGCTTGTCTCTCAACCTGATGCACTGGACACCGAAACGTACCCATAAGCAGTCCATCTCCGTAAATATGAAAAATATTTCCAGACAGAGGCATGCAACTCATCCGTGGGGTTCACCGGTCGGTCCCATCCCAGGAATTCGGATTTCGATTGCACAGCCTTAGGCAGTAGCCTGGAGCTCACAAGCTGCAGTAAGCGACGCAGTAGCAATGAACGTATTGGTGTAAGTCACAAAGTATCATTCAGAAGCCTGGAGGCCTTTCAGTGGTATACCATTTTCCGCCTAACACCATTCTTTCCCATCTAACTCCTTCAAACCGACCAGCAGTACGTTTTGGATCATTCCTATCCCTATATATATGCACATAAGGAAGCCCAAGGATCTCCTAGAGAATGCAACCAGAACGACCCCCGCTTACAAGAAACACACCGCATGAATCAAAATGACAGGCGAGTGCATGTGCAACTCGAGCTGTGTCAGCGCGCAACGCCAGAGGAACACCAAGTCCTGATCGCTGGAAACGCGATTCAACGTCGACGGACATAGAAAAAAAAAATCGGGTTAAAGAAGAGTTTTAGAAGCGAAGAAAGACAAGAAGTCTAGGCATCCTCAAGTTGCACTCTTTGGCTCTTTCGGTTCCTGACTTCCACCATCGTAGGGGTCAGAGCCAATCGATCCACAACACGATCCTCATGCGGGCTTGTCATGGTACGAACCACAGCTCTTGGGCTGTTTGCTCTGCTGACAGATACACTCCTCGCAACGCCGACCATGGCCTTCGCCGTAGCGACTTCTTCCGTCCTTCCTTCCCTTCTTCTCGCTTGAATCTCTGCACGCTTCTCACCAAGTCTGCTGGCCGAATGTGGCGGAGTTGACAAACTTTGCAATCGTTGTAGAGGCGAAGGTGCGTCGAGGGGAGCTGAAGCCGGGTGTGATGAGAGCGCACTGAGTTTTGTGACTCTTGGCTGCTTCTGCGAAGGAGAGCGGGAGAGTGGGGAATCTGACACACTGTTGACCATAAGGTTCTCGCTTCTTGCAGTCTTGCCAGGCTTGGAGCAAATCTCCCACTCGGGCTCTCGCTCATCGAGGCGTAACTTGATGGGTTTGGAATGACCAGGTGATGCCTGAGCAACTATAATCGTGATTGATTCGGCCTCAGATTCGAAGCTGCGGATCGAAGTAGGGGTCAATGATGGCTTCAGGTACGGAGATGCGGCAGGCTTCAGTTTTGTAGAATCAATATGTACCGTTGGAGTCTCTGCATTTTGGGCGAAGGTTTGCTGAAGTGGAGACTTCGTAGGCATTGTTTTAGATCGCTTGAGATCCTTCCTGCTGCGGTTCATGATCGATCCGGAAAGAGGTGATGGTGCGCGATTTGAGTTGGTGGAAGGGAACAGCGAGAGTCGGGGTGAACCAGACACTGGAGTGGGCGATGTTACACTGCGGTGAAGGCTGTAATCTACAGGACTTTCGTCGTTTTCATTGCCCTGCTGTGCTATTAGCTGAGATCCAACGTAGCTCAAGCTGTGAGTACACACCTTTGCGGACAGCTCCTGCAGTGGCTTGACCCTCTCAGCATTGCCTTGTCGCCGTGCCAAGAGCGATGACCGGCTCGGGTCTGACTGCAAAAGATTTCCGAACATAACACTGTATCTCTCCATCGTTATGTCTGGAAGACTGACATCAAGAAGAGGCCCCCCGTCGTCTACAGACGTGGTGGGACCTGTTTTCGACACTTCAACCTTTGGCACAGGTGGGGGGGCGTCGCCTAAAATGTCTCGTGCTCCTAGATCCGGTGTTGTAAAAGCTCGTTGCATGGACTTTTTAGGTCCATGTGATGGGACACTTCCGAGCGTTAATGCCCGTTCCCTGGTCGCAGACGTCTCTGGTGGCGATTGAGGCGGAACAAACTCCCCAGGTGACCACTTGCGTGATGCTCGGATGTTGGGTCGATAGGTAGGTGGGGACACACTTCGCAGTTTCTCCCTCTCCTTTTCCTCCGGTTGAGATGCCTGAGGTGCCTGAGGTTCGAGTACTTCGTCATCATGGTGGCTGTCTGCTCGAGGTGCTGCAGCAACGGTCTGCGCCAGCTGATAGAATGAGGGCTTTTCCACTGGAGGTGGAGGCGCTTTACGGAATAACGACTTCCATCGACTGAGTTTAGATTTTGGTGCTTCCGGGCGGCTGGCCAAGGAAACTGAGGAATCGTTGGGTTGGCTTAACATCGCCATTGAAGAATCGGGAAACTTGGGATCTACTGTTGATATCGCCACCTGAGATGCCGCTTTCCAGTGTGAGCTTGAGGTAGGCGAACCAAGAGCGATTCCAATGACTCCCTGCTCTTTCGTGGCGTCCGGGCTGTAGAGTACAGTTGTGGAAGTGGTAGGTGATTGAAAGGAGTGGATATGATCCTGAGAATAGATCGATGCTACAGGATTTGTTTTCTTATGGAACATGGGTAGACGCTCTCCAGGTCCGCCTGACGTGCTTGGTCGCTTTGCCGTATCCGGAACTCCTAGATTTCCTTCAGTCCTCGAATCAGAAGTTGTTCCCTTGTATTTGTCAAAGTCTGTTTGAGGACCCTTAACGGGCGGCATTGAGTCCCCATTGTCTTGCTCCGTGGCCTCCCTGCGATTGTTTCTCAGAAACCTCAGCGATTTCGACCTTGTAAGCATCCCGGGCATCTTGGGTTTCAAGTTCGTTAGAGTATCGGAAAGTAAATTGAGGTTGAAGGAAAGACTAGAAGATATGAGCGCAGACGTAAAGGAATGGACGGCTCTATTGAGCCAGAAAGATAGAACAGGCCGCGACACAGTCGTGGGAAGGTTGAAAGAAGAAGAGACTCAAAGAACGGCGGGATTTGCGCAAGTATCACCACCGGTCCGCCAGGAAACGAACCTGGCGCCTCCACACTTCGCTGTCATCATACCAGCGGCAATCATCAATCCACTTTCGCGCGTCTGAGAGAAATTGCAGCGTCGAGAACCCGTCACGAGACCAGGGTCAGGGCAATGCACATTGTGTGAGACGGGCGAATTCGATTGGCTCCCCGGCTTGTCGCGCCAACATTACCCATGGCCGTTGACAGGATTACCTCGTAAGTGTCTTTGCAGGGTGACGATGCCGGGGGAACAAGCGACAAATGCTGCAGGGCTAAGAAGTTGTGGATAAGCACAAGCCTG